GAACACAGAATGATCTTGGAGAGAGCTTTACCGAGCTGACTGCTGTAACCGAACATGACCAGGGTTTAAAGGCTGAACGAATGACTGACAGGCATAGAGGAGAAAAGAGTGTGTGTGAACTTTAATGTAAGGACTTAAATATTCATATGTAGCTCACATTAAGCTATCGTATGGCTTCAGAAGTAACAGAATAATTCGCACAATTGGGAAAAAAATAAAAAATAAAATCTCGGATTTGGATCGGCTCTCTCTGACCGATACCCAAACCGAGAAAAATGGCTCTATCGGAGCCGATACCCGATATGCGCCAAAAAGTGGGTAGTTCCACAATTAGTTCTGGTACTATGAAAAGGTTCCCGTGGTGCGAAAGGCCCTAATATCAGGGATGCACATTAGTGGTGCACATGCACGACCAAAATAAAAAAATGCACTTTGTAAATAAGTTCAGACCACTCATTGGCATACCGACATGTTTGACAGCTGTTAATGCACAATCACCATTTTAGATCGACTAACTAATATTGTACAAGATATTTAAAGAAAGCATGAATCTTGGCTATGCGCTGCTGGTTTCACAGCAAAATGTAAAACTGACATTTCATTCAATGACGCGCTTCACTTACGCTCTTCACTTGGCAGCGCTAAAACCAGCAGCGCATTGTACTTACCGGCAACCCGCCAAAATAAAAGCTTGCTTATTTTAGGTTTGAAAATAATGAAAATTCATTAAAAAAAAAGATCAAATAAAAAAAATTTAAATGTTAACATTAGCATTGTATTTTAAAGTGTACTATAAAATAATTGTATTTTTATTTTAAAATATAATAGTATTATCACACTCTATTATTTTATTAAAATACGAAATAAATGAAGTGCATTAATACTATTATCCCTATTATTAATTATTTGATTTTTATTTATATTTAATGCATCACTATGTGTAGTGTGAGCACCAAACCAAATCTCCAGGTGCTCTCATGAGAACCAGATTAATGTGCACCCCTGAATATTATGTATTTTTGAATATATTAAAATTGTATAGTTTCAATTTTTTATAGTATGTTGTGAATATATTGAGTTTTTAGATTTCCAGTTTTCATTTATATTCATTTAAATTGTAGTAATTTTATGTGATTTGTTTAAAAATATATTTCTATATAGCTTTACTTACTCCGTTTTAGTCATTTTAGGGCTTCACCAAACTTTTTTTTTTACATTTTCGTTTTCGTTAAGTTTGTTTTCATTTCTTTTAATTTCAGTTATTGAAAATTATTTTTAATACTTTTTAGTAAACTACAGTGGTACAACATAAAATTACTGTATGTGTTGTGTTGTAATTTTGTATAATCTGTATCTTCTCTATATCTTCCCAGATTATTCCTCCATGTGAATATTTTTCTATGCAAAAACACATATATTGTGGTTATTTTCTTTTAGTTTGTTTTAGTTTTTAATTTAACTAAACTACACTAAACTAAAATGTAATTTTTATTTGATTTCATTTTATTTTACAAAAATGGTTTGTAGGTTTTTTTTATTAATTTTTTTTTATTCTTTTTACTGTACAATAACATCTAATTATTTCTTAAACGTTCTGCTTCATTATTGCGAGGATGTGTAGCCTAGTGGCTAAAGATTTAGGCTGGTTATGGTGTTTATGTGCCTTTTATTGAGCTGCTTTTAAATGTGCTTCTCTTTCTTTGCAGGAATTTCATTTGACCTTTCCCCGCTTCGGAAACCTAGCCGCGGTTATTATAACATGTCCGTTGCCAACTATGACTACTTCATCAATGTGTGTGGCAATGTGAAGGCCGCACAGTGTCCAGAAACAGCAGGGGCCTGTCAAGTTGACCAGAGGTAAATTCACTTTGGTCATTTTCGTTTAACAAGGTGTGATGCAACAAGTTTATTTTGTCTTCACTGGAAGTATGATATGAAGCAACAGAATCCTAGCCAATCACAACATATTTGATGTTTAACATGCAGCTATGGAGTGCGTGATTTTTGAACCAATAAGATTTCGCTGTGGGCGGAGCTAACCTTTTTTGTTCCGTCTCTGCAGTGGCACAAGCTCTTGGAATCTCGGCGAGTTTAACTCCAAGCTTTCTTACTATGATGGCATGATCCAGTTGACCTACAGAAACGGCTCTCAGTACAACAACAAGCAGCACACGCAGCGTTCCACACACATTTCCTTCCTCTGTGACAGAGAGGCTGGTCCAGGAAAACCAGAGTTTCAGGTATTGCACCTGCTTCTTTGTTCTGTTCGTGCTGACTGTTAACACTCCAATATATTTTTAGCCCCTTCAGGTAAATATTTTTAGCCTCTAGTCAAGTAATGCTATTTCAGCATAAAGGGCTTGTGTGTTAAGCATTTTTTTGTTTCAGGCTTTGCATTGGACACACCTTCAGATTATTATAAGTCTTGTGTCTTGTCTGCAAACCAAAAATGTCCTTCATTTATGAGCACTTTTCTGCAGAAAGAAGATGAGTACACTTATAACTTCAAATGGTACACTTCCTACGCCTGTCCTGAGAGACCACATGAGTGTGTTGTGACAGACCCCAAAACTCTGCAGCAATACGACCTGTCCAGGTTAGCTCGCCTTTCGCAAAAGACTTGAATGTCCTAGAGAAATTATTATACTATATTACTAAATATTTTAGTTTCATTTTAAAAACAAGTTTGGTGCCACTAGAGCTGCATAAATGTCACACTTATCCTTTAGTTTACTAAATACTTCCTCCATCTGCCACTGATTGAACAAACAAATGGTCCCATCCCAAACTCATGTCATTGGCTGAGCCAATGTTGCCATTCTTTGTGGGTGAATCAACCTTTGGATGGCTTGTATATGTCTCTGTATATTAAATTGAAATAGGAGTCACTATTTTAAGATGGGCCAATTAATTAATTTAAAAAAAAAAACTTTTTATATAAATATGTGCTAATAAATGTAAATTGCAATCAAAAAATTATTAAAAATAATCTAAAAAAATCTAAAAAATTTAATGTAATAAAATCTTTATGTAAACAATTTCCATAATCCTTTTATTTACTAAATAAATTATGTATTTAAATGTTATACTGTATGTTTTTTTTTATTTATATATATATATATATATATATATATATATATATATGTATGTTTATATATTATATTTATGTTTTTATTCTGTTGGTTGTAACAACAAAATGGCAAAATATTTTGTTTAAAATATATTTTGTCTAATTTTTCTATATTTTAATATTCAGCAAAAATAATGCTTTTAGTGTAGTATTATGTTAGGCAAGCATGTTCACTTTTTTTAAACTTAATTTACTTTGTACTGTTGATTTATTTTGTACTGTGAATTTATTATTTTATTAGTTTAGGTTACTTATTTTTTCCATGAACAATGGTATAAAAAAGTTCACCATGGCTTATTTTAAATAACCGATTTTTCATTTAATTTTGTTTTATTTTGTTATTATCTATTTAGTTTTCATTAATTTTAACCCAATTTCACTTTTTGGATACTAGATATAAACGCACTGTTAATCCTGATAGTTTTTTTAGGTAGTGTTATCGCTCCATTATACATGTTTGACAACATCCAAACAATGCTAGTATCAAAAAGCTAGACAGTAAAAAAAAACACACACAGACAAAACCAAATTAAACCCTGCGGCTCGTGATGATACATTGAGGTCTTAAGACGATCGGTCTGTGCAAGAAACTGAACAGTATTTACATTTTTTACCTCTGATCCACCGCAATGTCCAACTGTTCTGAGCGTGTTCACAACATCCGGCGCGTGACGTCAAATAAATACGGTTGGGCAAAAAATTCCATGTTGTCTGATGATATATCAAAATCGTCTTCCATTGTGATTACCTGTACTTCTAAATATCTTTAGATCATCGCAGTGCCAGTGGACACATCCGCAATCTCTCTGCACTGTGTAAATAATGCTACTGGCATCTACTATGCCAGAGCACGTACACGCGTCACGCGCCGGATGTTGTGAACGCACTCAGACATTGCGGTGGATCAGAGGTAAAAAATGATATAAATGCTGTTCAGTTTCTTGCACAGACCGATCGTTTCATGTCTTAAGACCTCAATGCATCATCACGAGCCGCAGGGTTTAATTTGGTTTTGTCTGTGTATGTTTTTTTTACTCTCAAAGCCGTGGAGCCCATAGACTGCCATTATATGACTGACAGACTGCAACGGTTTGAGTTAAAAATCTTCGTTTGTGTTCTACTGAAGAAACAAAGTCACCTACATCTTGGATGCCCTGGGGGTAAG